TACTTCATAAGGAGCCCTGGTATAGTAATGGATTACAAAAATGTCAGCAGTTCAAATCTACCAGTCACACTGCGGGAGAAAGATGAGCCTTTCTCCTCCTGTAAAGACTTACAGCCTTGAAAACCCTATACAGGGTTGCTGTGAGTCAGAATCGACTCCACAGCACATAACCACCACCATTATACTTGATGGGAGCATAGTAGTTTGTACGGTAAACACTGGACTGTGAACCATGAGGTTGGTAGTTCGAGTCCACCAGACATTCTTTGGGAGAAAGGAGGCTTTCTGCTCCCACCAAGATGCACAGCCTCAGAAACTGTACACAGTTTAGGAGTTGGAACTGACTCGATGGCACCTTTATACAGCCCTTTTGTATCCATCATGCCATTTCATCCTTACAACCATAAACTGAAATCGATGCTGCTCAGTTGAGGCAGTGATTCGGTGAAAGCTTGTGGCAGGAATGGAAGCTGAATGTAGATGCTCAGCGCTGACTCCAGTTAGCTCATCCTTGTGTGGCTCCAAGTGTGATTCTCTGCTGGGTCTTAGTCCATGTTGGATCTTCTTGTCCTTTGGTCAGTCTGCCTCTCTTCATGGCCTCTCTGTCCTTTTGATTCTGTTTCAGAGAGAAGTCGAGATCCTGATGTTTCTCAGTGCCATTGTGATGATGAAGAACCGCAGATCCAGTAAGTGCAGCTGGTTTCTCAGTCTTGGGTGAGGTCGAGTGTCTTCCCGAGGTGCTTTTCTTTTGTTGGAGCATGAGGGGTGAGGGGAGTGTTATTTTGTGAAGTAGTGCCACCTTCCATGCCCTTTTTAAACTGCCCCAGAAAGAGGAACAAATATGGGATGCCAGCGCATACAGCTCATATTGACTTGTGACCTCTCTGTGTTTCAGTCACCGTGGAACAACATATAGGCAACATCTTCATGTTTAGTAAAGTGGCCAACGCTATTCTCTTCTTCCGCCTGGATATTCGCATGGGCCTGCTTTACCTCACGCTCTGCATAGGTGAGGGTGCCTTTCTGTGGATCCTTTGTAAGATTATGTTGGATAGAGGATTGATTGTGGGAGCCAAATTCCAATCCCAAACCAGTTTCTCCACACCCGTCTTGCTAATCTTGCACCTAATTAATGATGTGTGTAGCTCAGATGACTGGAGTCTACAGAGACTGTTTTCAGAGGAAGGGAATGTATCCAAATATGTCCACAAAGTGTGTATTCTTCCCTGGCTGGAAATACCTGAGTTGGTTTGGAAGTAACCCCTCTGCCTGAGGCACATTTGTTCTGATGTCTCCTTTGTGTATTTAGTGTTCCTGATGACATGCAAACCCCCCCTGTACATGGGCCCTGAATACATCAAATACTTCAACGACAAGACCATTGATGTGAGTGCCCTCTTCCCTCCTGTGTCCTGGTCCTTGGTGGGTGATTCGGTCATTGTGCTCTCTGTTCACTGGGAGGAGCAATGTAACTGAAACAGACGTCCAGGGCACTGTGGCTTCGTATGGGAGCTAGAGAAGAGGCCTGAGGGGAAGCCTGACTGAGCGCTGCAATGCGCAGGCCCGAGCTTCCCCTGGAGACTGTGGGATCCAGCTCATTGTTCTCCCGTTCGCCAGGAGGAGCTGGAGCGGGATAAGAGGGTCACTTGGATTGTGGAGTTCTTTGCCAATTGGTCTAATGACTGCCAGTCATTTGCTCCTATCTACGCTGACCTCTCCCTCAAGTGAGTAGTGGGGGCTGGGGGGGGGGGTGAAGATAGAAATTGAGATATAGATGTTTTGTCTTTTGACCTTAATTTTATACATTGCCCAACCCAAACTGCCCTCCTCTCTTTGAGCCATTCCCTGGTCCTTCAGTATGTTACATGTATATATATATATATATTCTTTTCAGATACAACTGTACGGGGCTCAATTTTGGGAAGGTGGATGTTGGCCGCTACACTGATGTTAGTACTCGGTATGTAAGGCGCTGGACAGAGAGGCTGAGCAGGAAATCACTTTGTGTGATGTGCATAAATGCATTTACAGAGTTCTTTCTGGGCCCTGTAGGTACAAAGTAAGCACATCGCCCCTCACTAAGCAGCTCCCCACCCTGATCCTCTTCCGAGGTGGCAAGGAGGTAATGCGGAGGCCACAGATTGACAAGAAAGGACGAGCTGTCTCCTGGACCTTCTCCGAGGTACCTGAAAAGATGGGCAAGAACTTTGGAGACGGGTTTAGAACAGTAGATGGGTTTGGTTTGGCTCTCAGCTCTCGCACTTATCCACTAGCTGTGAAAATGAGGACTGGTTACTATACTTGATTCATTACTTCGCTTAGCACATCTATATTATACTTTTAGGATGTGCTAGACCTGCTAGTACAGTCACGGAGACTGTGAGACTCAGTCTCTCAGGCGGCACCATAGATAGTATGCAGGGCTTGGGTTCCTTGTTGGTAAATAGGAGCTAGGAAGACGTGGACTGCCAGGGTTGTTTAAAAAATATATGTGTAAGGCTTGGCACAGTGACCGGCACACAATAGACACTTAAATATTAGTTGAGTTTCCCCAGATACCCCCAGAAGAGGAAGGTTAGGATAGCCTTTTGTCTTTGAGTTCCTTTTCCCCTAAATGTCTAAATGGAGTCCCTACATGGTCAAACGGTTAATGTGCCGATAACTGAAAGGTTGCTTAGAGGCTCAGGGGGAGAAAGGCCTAGTCATCTCCTTTCTGAAAAGCCAGCCCCGAGAACCCTGTGGAGCACAGTTCTACTCTGACACACATGGGGCTGCCATGACTCAATGTTGACTGGACAGCAGCCGGAGCTCCTAACTCTCTTCCAAACATAGCCCTGATGTGTGCCTGTCTTTTACGCAGGAGAATGTAATTCGAGAATTCAACTTGAATGAGCTCTACCAGCAGTCCAAGAAGCTTGCTAAGGCTGGAGACCATATCCCTGAGGAGCAGCTTGAGGCCCCACCTCCCACCACACAGCCACATGGGGAAAGCAAGAAGGACAAATAGGACCCCCGATTTACGTCATGCCCAAGCACCATTGAGGCCCTGACCCTTCTGCAACCAACAGCCCTGCCCAAGGGATGGACTTTTGTTGTTTGTGCTTCTCCTGGTGGGTCGTGCCTGGGGGAGACAATGCTGCTTCTGATTTAAAGAGGCCCCCCAGGAACTGTCAAGCACTATTCATTCGCAAAGGCCTTCCTGGTTGTGGCCAAGGATTTCACTAGAGGATGGGAAAGAACTCCTGGTTCTTCTCATCTCTTGTCTGGATCCATGTATTAAGTGCTATCTGCTGTCCCACATCTTTACCCCACTGTGGTTTCATTACTCCTCTTAGAGACCTGTTTAGAGGAAACACTAACCTACAAGGCCGGGGTTGTGGAGTCAGTGCTAAGAGTTTTCCTTGCAGCTTGCAAGGCCCTTCTAGCTTGGTCCATGGCCTTCATTAAAAAGTAATTAGCCTAACTTTGTCACCGGTCCTGAGGAGAGATCTTTTCTGAGTTTTCATCATGGAGGGTGGTTTTGAAAAATGCCTCTACCTTATGGGGCTAGGGGAGGGGTACAGAGGTTTTGTATGGTGGAGCCTGGGAGGAAAAACCTGAGTAAGACTGAGTTTCTATTGAAGTCTATTACAACCACCCAATTTGAATGATCCTCTGATTACCCACCATCAGTTGGTAATTTTCCATAATAAAAGGACTGGGACTTCCATTTGATTGTGCCCTTGATGTTTCTCTTATATTAGGCCAGGCAAAGTTTGGTTCCAACAAATGCTAGGCATTTGTCCCCAGGAATGGGGAGAGCAGGGAAGGCTAGTTCCCGTTTGGGAGCAGGGGCAGGTAGGGGAAGAAGTTTCTCCTTCCTTGCGGGAGAGCTGGGTTTCATTCCCAGCCAATGGACCTCAATTCGCAGCCATGCATCCCAGCTGCTCTGAGTGTGCGCATTTCAATAAAATTTAGCTTCCAGGTTAAGGTGTACTAGGAAGAAACGCCTTGTTAGTGCTGTTGAATCGGTTCTGTCGCATACTGACCCGAGGAGCAGCTGGTGGATTTGAACCACCGACCTTTTGGTTCCCAATTCAATGCTTATCCTACAGCGCCACGCCCGGTGAAAGCCGTAAGGATCACAAAGGTCAGGCGATGGTACAGGAGCACGCAGTGTTTATTCTTTTGTGCATGGGATTGCCATGAGTTGGGGCGAACTATGGCAGCTCATAGCAATTATCCTAGTTCCGGAGTACAGACCATCGCGAGTTTCAAGGGTTAGGTTAGTGCTTAATCTACGGATCCCAAGGAGGAGGGTTTGTAGTGCATACTGCTTAGCCGGAAGCATGCGTTCCGGTGTTTTGTGCTCTAGGCTTTCAAAGAGCCACCTGGGTCGAGTTCTCCTCTGCCCGCCCTCCCCCAGTGTTGGTTGGAACTGTCGAACGCTCCCCATTGGTCTCCCGCCACCTCGCGGAGTGGTGCCCAAGGGTCCCGCCTCCAGATGTCACGTGGACGCCTCGGGCCTAGCTTTCCGCCTATCGACAGCGACTTCGTGAAGAAGCGGAAGTTTCCGGCTGCGGGCTGAGCTGCAGAGTGCGGGTATCCTTTGTCCCATCCCGCTTTCCGGTCCCCGCCGGGCTCAGGCGTCATGGCGCCCCGCGGGAGGAAGCGAAAGGCCGAGGTAGCGGTGGTCGCATCGCCGGAGAAGTGGGAGAAGCCAGCCGGCCGCCCGGAAACGGTGGAGGCGACGGTGGTCGTCATCGAACACTGGTGAGGCCGGGAGATAGGTGGGGAGGGGCGAGGTCGTGTCGAACCCAGGGCCCTACCCTGACCCAACTATTTCTAGCACGAGCTGACGCGTCTACGGGCGCAACGCCGCGGCCCTGGGCCAGGCGCTGCGCCGGGAGGCCCCCGAGCTGCCAGTGCAGGTGAACCCAGCCAAGCCCCGCAGGGGCAGTTTCGAAGTGACGCTGCTGCGCCCGGACGGCAGCAGTAAGTACGGGTCCCTGGGACCAAGCGGGGAAGAACTGGTCTCAGAAATCGGCCGCCTGACCACTGGAGAGAGATACTAACAACCGTTGCTTTATTCTGCCCTCTCCCAGGTGTGGAGCTTTGGACTGGGGTGAAGAAAGGGCCCCCACGCAAACTCAAGTTCCCTGAGCCTCAGGAAGTGGTGGAGGAGCTGAAGAAGTACCTTTTGTAGGAGAGAAATCCTCAAGCTGAGGTTTGAAGTGAGGGGCTGGGAGGAGGGGGCGCTACTTTACAGGCTAAAACTCAATTCAGCATGGGATTTGCATTTTCTTCTCTCTTGGGGAGTGTCTGTCCCTTCTTCTGAGAAGAAGAAAAAACTGAAATGAACACAAAATGACTATGTAGTGTGCCCTCTTCTGTGTTAACCCCATCTTCCATTCTTTGAGCCAAGTTGTAGACTACTAATGGTTGTGTAACTAATTCTGTTTAGAGGTGCAGTGTGTACCCCTTGGCGAGGCAATGGGTTATTATTGCCATGTAGATAGGACCCAATTCCACATTTTTTTGGAAAATTTCCACATTCCTGATGGTGGTGTATTATTTTACTGGCTGTAAGTTTTATTGGTTCCCTTATTGATGAATTTAAATCATACTGGCAAAAATCTTACCCCTTGTATGCTTATCTGCCACCATAATAATTACTGAAGTTTCTAACCTGTTCATTCCATTACTTCTTGCTGAGAAATTGTATTCCCACCTGAGTTAACTGAATCACTCTACATTTTAACCAGATCCCCTGAGCTTGTAGGTCTATGCAAGATGTAGATTGTGATTCAGGTGACTCTTTAGGTTCTAAATTGTGATTGAATTGAATTGAAATGGACTAATTTGAATCCTTGCTATTACTGTTATGTTCTTCCTGTTAGTAGTCCAATGTTATTGCATTAGAGTACTGCCTTGGAAACCTTATGAGTCAGAATTGATTTGACAACACTTAACAACAGCCACTCCAGGTCACAAGGATTTGACCTGATCCTTCTTAAGTGTTTCTTGCAGTACTTTGACCTGTTAAGTTCTCAGCATCTAGAGGGAAATGTAATCCTAGAGCTCCTGGGTTTTAAGGACTCAAAGATGAGGGAAGGGGGGCACATGTTCCTTGGGTTCTGATTGCTTGGGTCCTTTGTCTAACCTGTTTTCCCTTCTCACTTTTGCAGCCTTCTGTCTCTGGTGAGGTTGGAGCATTTATGATGGAACATGGCCAAACTTCAGTCGTGTGCCTGAAGCCACAGTTTCTTCCCTCCCAGAAGTGATGGTTCCGTTGTGAGGCAACCCTTTACTGAGGCACTGCAAAACTTCTTGGATTTAATAAAGTTCTTGATTAAAAAAAATTTTTTTAAAGGTATTTGAGTAATAAAATAGAACTTAACCAAATGGTAAGGGAGAGATAAAAGCCAGTCTCGTGAGATTGGTACCCCTTGTAATTTTCATAATCTAAGATTGCTATTTAATCTTGAAACTCCTAGTCTCTGGGACAGCACAGGAAACACTTGCAAAAATGATGGTAGATAAGTAAATAATTTATTTAGTTTTCTAAAAAAGCAAACTATCTGTTTCAACTCACTTCTTAGAAGTGATGATACAAAGTACCTCTTCCTGGGTCCCCGCAAAGGTTTTGGCTAAGCTTCTATACTGGCAGTAAATAAGCGCTCTACACACTAGGTTCTAGCTAATGTCCTTTCACTACCACTTGCTAATGTTTCACTACTAACCCTGGAACCCACACCAGAGGGTGTGTTTTTCTCAACTTTTTATGAATTAACTATTGACTAGATGCCTTCTGACCTGGCAGATCTGGCCTTGCCTGTGTGGAAAGAGTTAGTTCATCATTTTCTACCCATGGTACTACTTGACTTCTGCCTGGCTCCCAAAGTCTAGAGAGGGGAAGAGGAGATGTACAAAGAGCCAAGAATATACCTGCCTCTCTTCCTAACAGGGCATGTGCTAGGCAATGTTTCCCACCTTACTAGGCCCCCTCTCCTTCACTCCTCTCTCCACTATGTTAGTATATCCACTTCTGTCTCTGACTCTGAGGACGGGTCAGGCCACACAGAGGGAACACTGGTGGGCACCAGCATCCCCTCTGCTGTCCAGTGCACCACATCAATCTCTTCCTCTTCAGGGCTGGCAGGAAGTGGCTCCAGCAGCTCAGAATTACTAGTCACCTCCTTGTCTGCCTCTGGAGCAGGGTACAATGCCTCATTCATAGTTAGGGGCACTTCCAGCCCTGTTTCCACCCAGTTTGAACAGGAAGGTGAGAAATCGTCACAGGACTCTGGGGGAGGATCAAAGGAGTCAACGTGGAGAAGTTTGTCTTTCTGACCATCCAGTGGCTGGGAGCTGGTAATTTCAAGGTCTGAAGTCCAAGAGCCTCCCACTGAAAGTACCTCCCCTGGGCTCATCTCTGAGGTTATAACAAGGGGGCTCAGGGGCTCCATTGGCTTTTTGTTCTCAGAGGGCATGACTAAGAGACTCAAAGGCTCAATTGCCTCTTTGTTCTCAGGGACAGCTTCCTTATCCAATCCCGTGAGCTCTCGGGGCCAGAGTTCCATGTCTGGTAAACACCATTCTTCTTCAATCCAGTTCTTCCCAGTTTCTGTCAGGTCGTAACTAGGGGTCCTACAGCTTTCAGTCCTGGGACTGTCCAGAGAGCTGATAGGTGGCTCAATGTTGGAGCCACAAAGCATGAAATCCAGGATCTCCTCTAGTTCGCTGGTAGCAGCCGCACTTGTGATACGGTATTCCTCAGCTTCACAGGGCTGCCCAAGCAGGGCTGTGTCAAACACATAGGATTCTTGGCAGTCAGCATCAAGCACAGGCTCTTTCCCAACCAGCTCTGGACTGGACTCGCTCTCCAACTTCACCACTGGGTGGTCTGCAAGGTGGCTGGTAGAGAGCAGAATGTCTTGTAGCCTGGAGCACACAGGGGAGTCCTGACACAGGTCTATTTGAGCCAGTGACATCTGCTCCTTAGCAGAGAGTGGCTGAATCCCTGGAGGCTCATCTAAGGCTCCCCCAGGTTCTGGGATCTGGGGGCTATTTTGAGAGTTTATAAGGGGAGGATCCTGCACCACCTCCCAGCAGGTTCCATTGACAATCTTGCGAAGTTTCACTCTCCCAACCTGCCCCTCTTCCGCAGAGTCAGAGTTAGGGGCCCTGCCTTCTGGACTCTGCTTCTTGCTCCCAGCTGTCTTTCCAAGACCAGAGGGGCTTGGGGTGCTCTGCAGAGGACTAGCTCTCCCTGGTTTCTGCTTGTCCTCTGACACTTCCTTCTTTATATTCCTCTGCCTCCAAAGACGCCGGCCAGGGGCTATGGGCACTGAGCTGGGTCCACTTAGAACACTGGGAGGCTTGGATTTGCACACATCAGGAGATGGCTTTGAGCGGCTTAGCCTGATCTTTCTTGGCAGCAGTCTTTCGTTCACAGAGGGGTACAAGCTGGGTGGGGAACGAGCTGAAGAACCAAAGTCAGGATTACTCTTGTTCTCCTTAGGCCCTTGACTGAGGCTTAATGGTGAAGAGCTTTTTTCTTGAGTTGGACAGGCTCTGGCCTTCCTTTTGAGCAGAAGAGTACCAGCTGAGTTCTCGGTATTCTGTCGACTGCTCTTCTGGGGGCCCTCCTCCTTCCCTGAGGACTTTAATCTCACAGCTCCAGGAGGACAAGGGGTCTGGTTAACAGGCAATGGGGTTCGAGGACGGTGGCTAGGTGCCACCACCCTGGCTGAGATGGGAGGTTGTAAGCACTCCCGGTTAAGTCTTCGGCCCTGAGGGGCCTTCACCAGCTTTCCACCCTCTAGCTGAAGGCATTCTAGCTCAGAAACTCGGAGCTGACGGGCAGCAGAGAGCACATCCTGAACTTCTTCTTGAGAGACTTCCATCTCAGAGGTGTAGAGGAAGTCCACCAGTTTCCTAAGTGTCCTGATCTTCAGCCCTCCCAGCTCTAGCACCACCTTCCGACCCTGTGCTGGCCTCTCCCGCTCTAGGCGCTCTGTGAAGAAGGGGCTGCAGGCTGACAGGATGCAACAGTGAGCTGGGACTGCCTCACCTGTAGGGAAAACAGCAAGCACTTTACCTCATGCAGACAGGCAAGTTCAGGGGCTGAGCACACATGTTGTTAAGTACCATGGAGTTGGTTCTGATTCATAGTGATCCTGCAAAGGGTTTCCGAGGCTGTAAATCTTTACGGGAGCAGAACACCTCACTTCCACGGAACCGCTGGTAGTTTTGAACTGCTGACCTTGAGGTTGGCAGCCTGACCCGTAACCACTACACTACCAGAGCTCCACACGTTACTACCCAAATAGACTGCTCCTTTTCCCTCCATGGAAATCCAGGTAGGGAAATCGGTTCCTTTCTGCCATTCCCATTTGCCATACTAACTTGTTTTTATCCTTCAAAGTCTACTTAGACAGCACTTCAGAAAGCATTCCTCTGGGTTAGGTGCCTGGGCACAGTGAGACACTCTGGCTACTAGAACACTCAGCTAACTGTACTGGAATTGTTTATCTCCTTCACTAGACTATACACTGACGACAGGGACCATTTCAGAGCTTGATCTAACGTGGAACCAAATAACTTGCTGAGATTTTTCACTTAACATACAAACTTGCTCAGATTTTGGTTTTACACATACAAGAGTTTTAAAAGATCTAACAGAAAGTATGAGTTGTGGAGGTAGACAATTTGGGTTCAGTTCTCTCCTGGGTTCTAGCTCTGCTACCAAGTAGTGGAACCCCCTTTTTTCACATGCATACCTGTGCTCAGGTCACTCTCCTGAGATTAAACAAATCATAGCCAGTATGTTGACATGGATGTCTTACAAGCATGTCTAAAAACCTTTCCAGAAAAAGAATTTCCTAACCCCCTAAAACTTGTGTTTTCCTACTTCAAAATACGGTATCACGTGCACCCAGCTACCCGAGCCTGAAAATAAATCATCTTTGTCTCCTTTCTATCCACTATCCACCTAATCTAATTTAAAAAACAACAAACGAATACTTTTTGAGTGTTTATTACGTGGCAGGCATTGTTCTAAGGGCTTCACCGGATCATGTTCACAGCAGTGAGTGATCTGAGGTATATTAAGTAACATGCCCATAATTACACAGTTTGTGAGTAGCAGGGGGTTCCTGTAGCAAGTGATCTGTAAACCTAGTCAGTGAAAGAAAGGCCTGGTGACTGGCTTCTGTAAATAGTGCAGCTGAGAAAACCATATAGAGCAGTTCTACTTTAACATGGGGTTACAATGAGTTGAAATAGATAGCAATAGGTTTCTTTTTTTAAAGTAGCAGACAAGATTTGAACCCAGGGAGTCTGGCTACCAAGTCCAGGTTCTTAACAAATTCAGTGAGTTTTGCAAATTTTTTTAAAAATATCTCATAAACCATACAACAACGAATTATACATCTCTTCCCATTCTGAATGCCACCATTTCAGTTCAAGCCCTCATCCTCTCTTGGATTATGGAAACAACCTATCTGGGCTCATCCACAATCTAATCATTCTTCACATACAGCCAGAGTGCTCTCTAAAACATGTATGTGATCATGTTGTGTCATCTTTCAGTACATTTTCCAGTGCGCTAAAGATAAGTCCTACTTCTTCATGTCCTCCTGACCTTACATAACTTTTTTTTTTTTTTCCAGCCATATCTCTGGTTAATATGTACTGTGTAGCCTGTGCACCATATGTACTGAACCACTCATATATCCCTGGCCACATCTCTGGACAGCTGTACATGTGGTTCTCTCTGCTTGGAAAAGTCCTTTCCTACTTCCTTCTACTTGTGTTTGTACTTCAGGTCATTTCCCTAATCCCAGCCTCCAAATCTCCCCAAATTTGAGAGTGATTACTCTTTAGTGTTCCTATTTCAGCCTTTAAACAAAAAAACCGAAAACCAAACAGGTTGCCATAAGTCAATTTCAATTCAGCAATCTTAATTGTCGTTAAATGTTGTCTAGTTGTTTCCGACTCACAGCAACCCTATACAAGGTTTCCAAGGAGCAGCAGTGAGTTTGAACCACTGACCTTGTGATTCAAACTGACCCTGCTGTCCAGTGCTTTGCTTATCCTACAGCGTCACACCAGGACCCCAGAAATCCTATGTTGTTTGTTGTAAGTGCTGTCAAATCAGTTCCGACTCATAGCAACCTTGTGTAGGGTTTCCAAGGAAGGGCTGGTGAGCTTGACCCGCCAACCCGTGGTTCAATCTGACCATGCAGTCCAGCACATTGCCCACAGCACACACATTCCTATAGAACAAGCTATATAATCTTTATGGAAGACTGCCACAGTTTTTTCCCCCACAGAGTGTATGGTGGATTTAAAGCGCCAACCGTCTGGTTAGCAGCTGAGTGTTTAACCACCATGCCAAGGATTATTAGTTATCCTGCATAGTAATTGACTAGTTATTTAAATGTCTCCCCCTTGCATAATTCCTTAGAGCAAAGACTTCATCTTCAATATAGCCACACCAGCACAGTTTTTGACACACAAACACACAATAGTTTTTTTGCTTGTTTTGAGTTAAATGAATCCCAGCTCTGCACTTACTAATAGAACCAACAGGCAAATAAATCACTTTGCTCATCTGTAACTGAAACCATATAATGTTATTTACTTCAAGTTGTTATAAGAACCAAGTGGAATTCCATGTTCTGCAAACTGTACAGGGCTATACAATGTTGGTTGTTGGAATCCCTTTTAAAGAAACAAGAGTTCCAGAGAGATGAAGTTACTTGCCCATTTCTAACTTCACTACTAAATAACAAAGCTAGGACTTAGGGCCTGGTGTGGTGCAGTAGGGTAAGCACTGGACTACTAGCTGCAAGGTTGGTGGTTCAAACCCACCAGCTGCTCCTCAGAAATCCCATACAGGGTCACTGAATCAGAACCAACTCGATGGTACTTTACCAACAGCAGTCATCTGACTCCTACCCTTGGGCCTTTTATCAGATTCCATCTCATGAAATATTAAGTATGAGGGGTAGGGGTAGGAATAAGCTATACGTTTTCAGTTCTAGCAAGAACAAAATCACCAATTTGAGGGAAAGAAAATGTGAAAATATGAAATGGTATCATCTAACACTTAAACATGGGGGCTTCAAAAAGTTTGTGGAAAAGTGGAATTGAAAGATAATGGAATTTTTCTAAGAACTTTTTGAAGCTTCCTCATATTGTGCTTAGTGCATTCAACACACGGGTCTGTATGTTTTACATCGTCACAACCATTCCATTATGGTATTAACCATGTTTTACCAAATTTCTATTAAAATTTCATTTTTCAAGAAAAACAATCTAGTCAGTCACAATTTTACTCTTGAGAACAGTAACTGTCCCTGAAACTGTTCTTTTCCAAATAGCTTATAGTGCTCAAAGATGTTGATAACACATTTCCCTGCTTTTGTCCCTTAACCCCTAACCCAGAACTCTTATTTTATAGTGAGTTTTCAACAGTCCCCACCAGTCCCTTACCTTCTGCCTGCAGAAGGACATCACAGAACACACCACTCTGCTGCTGGTGATGAAGCTGCAAAAAAGCGAAGCGGAGGAACTGAGGGTTCCTGTATAGGATCTTGGAGCTGGCTGGAGAGCACATGGTGGTAGTCTCTTAACAAACCTTCGAGTTTTCAGAGATCAGATTCCTGTGGATGAGATAGTACATTTCAGAGGCATGAATATACCTAATTTGCTTTTTGTCTTTGAAAAAGCAGAGAAATATTGACAGTGAGATAATTGCGTTAGTTGAGAAAGTATCAGCTCAGTTGAGAAAGTTTTGCCAAGTGTACCACAAGAAAGATCACCAGAGTTGTTAGTTTTATGTGGGAGTTCAGAGATAAGCCTAGGTTTGAATCTTGGCTCTGCCACTTATTAGCCTCGCTGTCGGATCTGAGGCAAATGATTTAACTTCTCTGAGTGTCATTTTTGTCTTCTATGTGAATGAGTCCTGGGGTGGCGCTGTAGGTTAATGCACCAGACTGCAAAGCCATTTGAACTACAAGGTCGGCAGTTCAAGCTCACCAGCCACTCCTCAGAAACCCTATACAGGGCCCCTATGGGTCAGGATCAACTCAATAGCACTTAGTAACAACAATGTGAATGAGTATGGGACTGATCATAACAGTACTTGTCATGCTAACAATAAACACTTATAATGTTTTTTTTTTTTTTTTTTAAGATGAAATAGCCGATGCATACACAAGTAATTGCCTAGCATCATATATGCCTGGAACATAGTTAACTATCACCCCCAAAATAGTAGCGCCATTATTCTCATTCACATTCCTACTGAAACTCCTGTCCTGCTAACTACTGAAATTCTTCCTCAGCACCCCTTTCCAGGTCCATGGATATAATCCTCAATCGCACACGAAAAGCCCATAATATTAAGTGTAAAAGTAGCTCTTGTGAGTCCCACACAGTTTCCCTGCACTCAGTCTATGATCCTAACCAGCAGAGGGTGCACCGTCAAGAAAAGTTAGCTACTGGACTAGGTGCACAGGCCTCCACAGAAGTAAGGCCACAAGTCACTCCCGGTTTAGAAGTCCTTGCTGCGTGACCCTAGTTGTTGTTGAGTGCCATCGAGGCCCTATATTAGGTTTCCGAAAAGTAGCTAGTGGGTTTGAACTGCTGACCTTGTGGTTTGCAGTTCAGTGGTGATCCTACAGTGCCACACCAGGAGTCCTGTAGGACCCTAGATATAGACAAAGAATTCTGGCTAGTGACCTGGCTACTTTAGCCCTCGACCCTTCCCAAAGCAAACTAGTTATGTGACTTCAAAGCGAAGCACAGAACCGAACTTGCTGGCTATATTCACTGCACAGGTGTGTTCCCTGCCTGGCATGCAGTTTTCTGTCAGGTGGCACCGAGGGTCCGAAGAACTCGGGTCAAAGCTAGCAGGAAAGAAAAGAGTGGCCAGGATCAATTAAGGAAGGGCAGGCTCGTCGATTCTGGGCAGAACGTTGTGATGTGGGTGGAGGGTGGCAGCAGTTGCAAAGGTCCAAATTAGGCACCGGGAACGCTAATCCAACCCCCCCTCCCCCCCACCTCCTCCCAGCCTGGTCTTGCCCCAAGACCCCACCTGGAGTCGATTTCTGCAGTAGGCACTACTCCTGTGGTCTCTGTGCCAGGTCCCCTGGCCAGCCAGCCGGGTTTGCTTGCCCGTGGAAGCAGCTCCGGTGGCCACGGGGCGGAGCGGTTCTCCGCACGCTCCAGAACCAAGAGAGGAAGGGGTAGCGGAGAAAGCAGGGTTTCAGGTGGGCCCTGCAAAATTGTGTGTCCCGGCGTCCGGCCCAACTCCTTTGAAGAGCCCTCTCGTCGCGAAGGTTTCTGGGAATGGAGCGTGGATGATCCGGTGGCCCGAATTCAGGGTTCGCCCTCAACGCCACCTCCCGGTCGCCTGGGGTTTGCAGTCCCACGCTGGCACGCTCCTACTGCCCTAGCGTCCACATGCACCGGGTGCCCGAGGTAGCCGGAGCCTGAGGATAGGTGGCCGGCCCACGCACTGCGCCGTCCTCGCGCAAGGATCGTGGAGAGCCGAGTCCTTCCTCCTCTCCAGCCCTCCGGTCTACGTTTGCCGAGTACGTCATCCCGATTGGCCGAGGGAGCTTCGGAGAGCCAATCAGAGAGGGAGGAACGCTTTGGGCGGGAGGCTGTCTTGAGGGACTTGCGGGCTGACTGAGGCGAGGTGGCACGAGATGTAGCGAGTTGGAAAGCAATTCTTCCTCTCAGCCCTCAGAAAACGAAGAGTCAGGAAATTATAGTGCAAACCCAAGGTGATTGAAGAACACCATCTCTGTCTTCCCCCAGGAGAGTCAGCAAATTGGCTTGGCCAGGATAAGAACACCCCACGCTTAATGGATAAAAACTCCACCGTGTTTTAATCTAGCGATCTCCCAAGGCCAGGGAATATTCTGGAACAATTTCGTAGGGCTGCTTTCTGAATTCTTTTATTCACTGATTTCACGTTTTTGGAGCACTGGTGACGGAGAAGGGTGCAGAAATCCCCTCAGAAATGGCCAAATCTCCAAATTCCCTTTGAGGGGGGTGGTTTAGTGAGCCCGATTCCTGATTCGGAATAGCAGTTTTTATGGAGGATGAGATACTAAAAAATGAAATCATTTCAAGAGGCGACATTTCGAATGACAGCCTATGTTAGAGCTCTCCCAACCCGCGGTTCGGGAGTCGGAGTGGGGGCTTTAGGACTCAGACCCTGACTTCCGGTCCAGCACCCTTCCCCCCAACCCCCAGATGATGCCCCGGGTCAAAATGGCTGAAGGCAGAGCCGCAGGTGAGAAAGTGTGGTGAGTCATTACATAGTAACCCCCCGCTGCCCAGGCTGCCTGCAAGGAGACCAGCGAGATGCGGAAGAGAAGGGCAGCCTGAAAGGGGACGAAAAGACGTGAGGCATACCGTGCGCGTGAGTTTGCCTTGCTTGATCTTGATTTCGAACCCCCTTTTCCAAAAAGGATCCGAGGTAGCGGATGAGATACTGGGGAGGCTGACCAGGTCGGGTACCATTTCTCCTAGTTGAAGGCAAAGAAAGGCGCAGACGGTTTTCGGTTGCAATTGTCTTATTTTTGACGTGGAAGCGGTTAGTGAAAGGACATCGAACTTTGCAGAAGGCGGACAGATTTTTCCATGTTGTCAATTGCACAAAGGAGGGAGGGGAGAGAAATCCTAAAAACATTAACAAAAGTCGAAGGCAGAACCAGAATCCTTAAGTGGTTCATAGTTTCTGCTGCTGTGGAGTCAAGGTTTGGGGAGGCAGGTGGCACCCCCGTACTGGTGACTCAGTGAAAGTGGTGCGCGCCACACGGATATAGGATCGCCCTCCTAAATATATTGTCCTCAGCATGAAATTCACACGCAAGTAGAGAAACATCACTGTTTTTTGTTTTGTTTTTTTTCTTCTTTGGATCCATCATCACTTTATCTGGAGTCCTGAGGTGGCGCTGTAGGATAAGCTCTGGATTGCTAACTGCAAGGTCGGCGGTTCAAAACCACCCGCCGCTCTTTGGAATCCTTACGTAAGGTCGCTATGAGTCGCAACCCACTCGTCAGCACTTAACCACAGGTGCTTTTACTTACATTTGGTGTTAGTAGCAGTTGTGTAAAGGAAATGATGCTTGTTCCAGGCTCTCCAAATGACAAACTCTGGAGGATAATATGCAGCCACCAGAGGGTAGAAAGGAGTCAAAGAATTTTGTTTTCCTTTGTGCGGTAGGCTAGTGGTTTATTTTTTTTTTGGAGTTGAAATTTTTGTGTTTTGTTTTCTTTTTTTTCATCTTCCTTGAGCTGGATACTTCTGTTCTATTTTAGAAAGAGATTCAGCATAACATGATAATTAGCATGCTAGAATCATTTCATATTTTTGAACTTTAAAAAAAAAAAAACCTCTTCCCAAACTTGTCATCATTTTATGGTATCTTTGTGTGTGTGTGTGTGTGTGTGTGTGTGTGGTGATGATGGTAGGTGGGGATGTTAAATTTTTGAGGGTTGTAAAACCAAGCACTGAATGTACCATGTTGCCTGCATTCAAAACAAAGCAAACACAACACCATAAAAGAAAAAGAAAATAAATTCCACAGGCAAAAACAACCCTGTATCTCAAAAATGTTTCCTGAACCCATGGTCTTCTCTCCATTTTTACTGGAACCCTCATCCATGGCCCTAACACTGCAACTTGACCATGGCAATAGTGTTTGAACTAGTGGGCTTGCCTTTCTTTATTGATATTTTCTTGTTCATCTTTAATTCGTTTGTTATACAAACTGCCAGATCCTTTCATGTCATCTTCTGTTTAAACCTCCCAGAAGCTTTCCTCTACCTAAGAATAAAATCTATGTTCCTTAATCCGTCCTGTAAACTCATTGCCACTGAATCGATTTGAGCTCATAGAGAAGCTATAGGACTGAAGAGATCAACTTAGGGTTTCTGAGACTCTAAAGTCTTTATGGGAGCAGATGACACATCTTTCTCCTGAGGAGCAGCTGGTAGTTAAGCATGCAGTTAGCAGCCTTAGTAGCTCTGTGCTTAACACCCACACCACCACCAGGGTGCCTTACTTTGATCTATATTATTGTTAAGTGCCTTGAAGTCTGTTTTGACTCCCAGTGATCCTATGTCCAAGGAGTGGAGGGTGGATTTGAATCTCTAACCTTGTGATTAGCAGTCCAGTGCTTATCCTACAGCACCACACCAGGACTCATGCTGTTTTTGTTAAGTGCCTTTGAGTCAGTTCCAACTGTGTAGGATATTGAGGAGCATCTGATGAGCCTGAACCACCAATCTCATGGTGTAGACCAATTTTGCAGTCCAGGGCATTAACCCACAGTGCCACACCAGAACTCACAGACCCCTTCATGTTCTGATCTCACCTGACCCTAAGTCCTCATTTCCAACATGTGCCAGCTGGCCCAGTGTGTTTCAGCCCAATACCCTAGGGCTTTGACGTTCACAGTGACCTCTGCTTGTGACTGATCTTTCTCCTAAGGGCTGGCCTCTACTTGATTTAGATTCCCACTGATAATCACCCATTCAGAGTTTGTCTCTGACATCCAATCTAGAGTAAACCCCAAGTCATTCTCATTTCCAACA